GAGAAGTTTAAATAAGTCCTCTATTGAATATGTATGAATGATATTTTCTATAAACTATGAAAAGGAATGGCTATGACAATACCATATGTAGAATAAACCATTTCAATTTCTTTGGACTCTACCCCGCAGCTCAATCTGCAATATTCCACCAATGCAAAGAACAGGTTCTGGAAGCTTAAAGCTCTGCAAACAATCTGCCTGTCAATGGTTCTATTAATGAGTATCATCACTGCTTCTGAGAGACTTATCTTTTTGCAAATCAAAAACAAGGGAAAAGAATAATTTCAGCAAAAATGAAACTTAAACTAATAGTGCCAAACCACAAAAGCCACCATTTGCTACCTACTGAGAAATAATAATCAACTGCAGTAAAAAAAAAAACAATTAATAAAATTTATTTTAATCTTTTTCCTGAACTATAATCACAAGAAGCAATTCAGATGAAATGATAATACATCAAAAAAACAAAAGAATTTAATTTTTCATTGATTACTATCAACAATTAAATAAGGGGGAAAAAAAAACGAGTGGCTTAAAAGAAGACAGTATCAAACAGAGCGCAAGCACGGATCTTTCTACCGACAAATGAAAGCTGAGAGCTTTGGATTGCAAAATTCAAACATAAATGCAGCAATCAAATTCAATCAATTGTGCAGATGAACGCAACAGATTGTGTAATGGGGATGGAAAAAAATGGAGGAAACTGGAAAAGGCAAAGATGAGGAGAATAGAGAAATGAAGTAGAGAGGAAAATGAGAATAGAAGTTAGGGAAACTTTACCTTTTGCAGAAGAAGAAAGGGGAATCGAGAAGCCAAACCCTTGAGGGAGAAGTTGAAAGAATCGGCGAGTAAAGTAGCTGGACATGGAGATGGACAATGCCAGTAACAGAGACGACAAGGACCTCAAGGAAATCTAATCTAATTTTGACAATTACTTTATGGCGTGTTTGTTTGGTACTGCTCAAATTTTAATTGGTCTCATTCACATTCAAAAAAAAATATATATATATATATATTAATAATAATAGTGGTTTTTTTTTTTTTAAAAAAAAGGTAGGTTCCAAGAAAAAAAATAAATAGTGGTTTTAAAAATATTTAAAAAAAATTTTAAAATACAAAATAATTTCAAATTAATACCCTATAATATCAAATTTATCCCTTCTCCCCAATTAATATGTATCCCTAAATTTCATATGCCTATTGGTCTTTATCAAGAGTGATTTTATCTAATTTGATAGTAGATATTTTTTATTATTAATAATTTAAAAGTTTTTATTTATTAAATTAGAAAAAACTATTAATTATTAACTTCAAGACCATATTTCAATCAAACAACTCCTGAATTGGAGAAAGTCACACAATATGTTCAGCTTCAATGATGTGGGGGGAAAATCATTACATTCATCAACAACAATCCATTTAAATTTCAAATACATCAATTTCCTACTCTAAATGTCCGATTTGCACTCTATGTTGCATGTCAAATCTAAAAATATTTGATAAGGGTAGGTGGGTGTAGGAAATATAGGGATATTAATTAGGAAAATGGGTAAATTTGATATCACATAATATTAATTTAGAATTATTTTGTATCTTAAAATTTTTTAAAGAATATTTTTGAAACCCCCATTCTTTTAGAATTAAAATTTTTTGAACCTACCTTTTTTTTTTAATAAACCCTAATAATATTGTTAATTGAGTTTTCAAACTTAAAGTAATTTTTATTAAATTTTTGTGTTTATTTAACGCTCCTACTATACTTAGAACTACTTGCGAAAAATCTACTCAAATAAGATTTCTATAAAAAGTCCATGAGACGCCATGAACACTTTTATGTTTTGCTTCATTGTCAGTTAAATAATCTACTTGAACTTGATGTGTTGAAGTGCAAACTGGTGTAGAGTTCGGAAAATTATCCAACTTCTGGGGTGACGATGAAATTCCCTCTTGGAGTAAAAATACATCACACTGCTGTCATTTTTATTTTTTTTTTGATAAAAGGAATACCGAGCTGGTGAGTTAGTATCTATTTAGAATCAGAGTCGCAACCAAGGATCAGATGAATTCCACCTACTACTCGTGAAATAGTGTAGCCCATCTGCTGGTCACATAGAGTAGTTCACCCTGCTGTCATTTGTTAGTTTATACATTTTAGACAATTTTTGGCAGGTAATGTTGCATGGTAAACGGGTGAAGCACTTAAGCTTTTGTATGATTGTAATCATTTTCTTTACAACCGGTTCTGTTACAGCATCAAGATCAAAATTATTAATGGTATGAACCATGAAGCTTCGAGTGAGTCTCCTCTAAAGCCCAAAGTCACATACAGGAAAAGATAGAAGTACCTCCTGCCACACAACTGCCTAGAAGAATGCTCAAATAGTGGTTCATGTTTGATGGAGTACTGCATAAATATTTAAGTAAAGCTAGCATTAAAGCGAAAGACACGGTAACAAAAAATTAAAGAAAGCTCTACATACTGCTGCCAGACCAGAACATTTATCTCCAGAATACCAGATGAGAAGGATAATGGGGCAAGTTTATTTTATATAACAGTACTACACAAGCTATCAAGGCAAGTTTATTTTGTATGATATGATTACACAAGCTCTTCAACGCAAGTTTAGTTTATCGGATTCCTCATTACCATCTTCATCCGATTCCTCATTACTGTTTTCATCTGATTCCTCATTACTGTCTTCATCCTCCCATTGATATTCCACAAGGTCAACTACAGTACCCCTCATTATATTCATAATCTGTTGATTGTCTATTAACCATCTATGCCATCTCTCAGCTGCTCGCCTGGTTTCCTGAGGTACAGTCTGTGGTTTTGTGTAACTCAAAGCTTTCAACACAAAATTTTCAGAGGGCTCGAGGATTTCAATTCCAAATGCTGGAGATAATGGGCGTCCAACAACCTGAACGTGAGCCACACTGAAACACAACAGTAAAGTGCATGAGTCGAAAAGATTACCATATATTGAACCATGGTTTATACAATCTG